CTCTCTCTCTCTCTCTCTCTCTCTCTCCCTCCCTCTCTATTTCTCCCCCTCTCCCCGCCTACCGCTTTTCGACCAGACTAGCCGCAGCCTAGTGTCACCACGTAGTCCCTTCCAACTAAGTTAGCGCCGAAAGATGTAATCATGTGGGTATCTGAGGAAATAGAAGAACTGTCAACCGACTCTGCCAATGCTTGAAGAAACAGCCCACGTCGAGAGGAAGCAGGCCACAGGAGGTAACTGTGGCTTCCTCCTTGGTGCGCTCCTCCTTCCAAGGCGGTGAAGAGAGAAGCGCACCGATAAGGAAGACACAGTGATTCGCTGTCTCCGCCCACACCATCGACGTGGTATAGGTGGAGCCTTGATGGCCACAAATTATACCCTCCCTATTGCAGGTGGAAAACCCACTAGTGAGTATTCCCCAGGAACTTCAAACCCCTTTAACACGCTCGGTTTCTCCACTGCTATTTACCAACAGGGGAAGTGCTCAGCTATAACTCTTCTGAAATCTCCAGCTGAATCGGATGAAGGAGGAACGAGGATGTGGTATTAGAGGAAAAGCAGCTGTGAAGGGAACACTTACCTAAATTAACCTTCCTCGTAGCGTTGTAATGCGGCACAATCTCATTGACATGTTCGAAATTTGCTCGAAACATTTCCGCCGTACGAAGCACCTAATCAAATAGTCAATTGGATGTTGTTCAAACATGCACAAAATTCATGCGGATTCCACGAATTCTTCGATGAATTAAAAAAATTGATAAAAATGGAAAATAGTCCCTAATATATATTATTTGCAACATCCTTGTTAGGATGTTTGTTTGTCGAAAATTCTGCTCTACCAGAAGGGCAACTTGGCGAGGTTGGGTCAAGGCTGGGATGAGTAGGGCATGAGATCAGATTTAAAGAGACACGTAGCTTCTGCTAAGCCCCACCCACTGTGTGCGTCACCACATGCATAAGCAGTGGTGACGCAGACAAGACTCATAATTCGATGGTTTCA